TGCCAATGACACATCTGATAAAGGGTTAATATCCAAACTATATAAGGAACTCATACAACTTAACAAAAGGAANCATTTTTGCCAATGACACATCTGATAAAGGGTTAATATCCAAACTATATAAGGAATTCATACAACTTAACAAAAGGAAGACAAACAATGCAATTAAAATGGGCAAATTCTGCTTAATTCTCAATAATAGGCATATGACCAATTAATTATTAATCCATGACAACATTGAAATCTAACGCACAAAAAATAAAATGCACCTGAAGATTCTGTAACCAAATAGTAAAAGCCTTCGCTGTGCTGCTAGTGTTGTGGAGTTGTGCACCTGAAACCTGTGTAATTTTGTTCACTAGAGTCACCCCGGTAAATTCAATTATAAAGAAAAAATGTATTTTAGTTCTTCTCCTGAGCAGTATTGCTAGTTCTCCTAAGTAATTCATTACATGTGTGTCTTCAAATTACAGGGAAGGTACATGGCAATTGCTATGGCTTTGTCATTCTCTTTGTAAGAACCAAAGGTTTTTCTTGGTGCAGAAAACAGAATTAGTCAACATCTAACAGTTTCAGCCAAAAGTAAGCAACCAAACTTCAGATGGAATTATTGTGAAAAACAAAGATTGCTCTTAATTTCAACATTTCTGACTTTTCTCTCCTGTATTGTAAATGCAAAAATGACATAAGGAAACATTCTATAGTATTTCCTTATAAAAATATCATTTTGATTCATTTTCTTGCTCCTCAAGTCTATCCGGACAGTGAAAGCTAATTGATCACCCCAGACTGTGCTCTGAATTTGTACAAGAGCTTTCAGGAGGTACTCAAATACCATGTAAAAGCAACTCAGCATGGAATTCTGGGCCTTTCACAGTAATGGCCTATCTTTAGCCCACTAGATTTGTCTCTGTGTGTGTGTGAGTGTGTGTGTGTGTGTGAGAGTGTGTGCTTTATTCTGCAATATGCAATCCCACCTCCTTGGATTATCCACATGTAAATTTGTATTACATTTTTACTAGCTCCTCATGCCCACATATACAACTTTCTCTACAATCTTAGAAAATACCAGAAATTTGCAGTTAAAGAAATCTTAATGACAATTTTATTTAACCTTACAAGAATCTGAGGTTTGGGAAGTTCAATCGACTTCTAAGTTCTGCATAATTATTAAATGGCACAATCAGGACTGAGCCTTGTAAGCTGCATGTTTGAGTGTGTGCACATGTAGATTTTATTAAATCTTGCTACTACTATTTTATTTGTTTTAAAACTGCTTCCTCTAAATTCAAAATTAAACTCTCGATTTTACATTCAAGGATTATATACCTTTCTGACTTTATATAGTTTTATATCACCTATTAATTAATATGGGTCTTATTTTCTGGAATACCTAACTTCTGTAAAACTAAGAAAGAATTGGGAAAATCTCTTTGCTTTAGAAGCTACCTATTTTGTTCCCAGTCCTGGTCCTGGTATGGGAGGCCTTTATATCACACGTAATATCGTCCCTGCAGCAGAACCAGGAGGGCTAAGTTTGTGTTACCCTGGGCAGCCAGAACAGTGTGATCGACCAAAGAGACAATCTGTGCTGTTCAAGCACCGAAATCCTCATTAAAACTCACGTGTTCAACCAAGTTTAGGGACATGAGTCTAGCTAGCCTCTGTATATACTAATTAATAATAATGTCAAAAGCCAGGACAGCAGGTTCGGAGAGAGTTTATAGACTCTTACGAACTTAAGAAATGCTAAAAAGTAGTTGGAAGCCCACTTTCATAGTGAGGTAGATATGTGGTGTAGGGCATATATAAGACAGGCCCTGTTACAAAACAAGAGTGCATTTTGTATGTTGTTTTTTTCAGAAAGTATTATAAGTGTTTTCATTGAAATCTCTCTTTCATGTACATATTGTTTTCCATGAATAATATAAAATAGTTGACACACTGATTTGATGCTCATTTGAGGAAAATTCTGATTATTATATATGGGTTTTCCACTTTGGCTCATGACCTATTTGTCAAAGATAAATAAGCACAGGAAACTGAACACTTTAGGCCCTGGCCAGGTAGCTCATTGGTCAGAGCATCATCTTGATGCACCAAGGTTGCGGGTTTGATTCCCAGTCAGGGCACATACAAAAATCCAAGGAATACATAAACAGTAGAATGACAAATTAATGTTTCTCTCTCTCTCTCTCTCTCTCTCTCTCTCTCTCTCTCTCTCTCTCTCCTCTCTCTCCTTCTCCCTCTCTCTAAAACCAATAAAAACATATTTTNCTCTCTCTCTCTCTCTCTCTCTCTCTCTCTGTCTCCTCTCTCTCCTTCTCCCTCTCTCTAAAGTCAATAAATATAAATAAATAAAAATGGAATACTACATAGCTGTAAAGAAGAAGAATCTTGTACCCTTTGGGACAGTATGGATGGTCCTGGAGAATATTATGCTAGGTGAAATAAGCCAGGCAGCGAAAGAAAAATATCACATGATCTCACTTATACATAGAATCTAAAGAACTTAATAAACTGATGAGCAGAATAGATTCAATGACATGGAAGCATAGTTGAGACTGACGAAATGTCAGAGGGAAGGAGGAGAGGGGGTGGAGGGGGAGAGAGTAACCAAAGAATTTGTATGCGTATATGCACAACCCAAGGACACGGACAATGGTGGGGAGAGGGACTGGGGAGGGGGAAGGAACGGGGGGGAACGGGTCATTGGGGAGAAAAGGGACATCTGTAATACTTTAAACAAAAATAAAAATTATAAAAAAATAAAAATAAATTTAAATTTAAAAATGCACACATCTCTAGCTTTTTAAAAATGAAAAAAAACAAAATAAAGTTAAACCACAACTTAAAAAAAAGAAATTGAACACTTTAATTGTCAGAGGTAAAAATAATACAATAAATAAAATAATAAAATAAAATAAAATAAAATAAAATAGGTTATTTTCCCAAGACAAGTGATAACATTTTATGAAAAGTAATTAAATAAAACTATATACACACTGTTAGCTTTCTTTGACTGATTACAGAACTAATTAAAAATAAGCAAAATGGTATAGAAAGAGCTAAAGCATATGTATGTTTTAAAGTGTCAGCATAATATTCTCAAGGTCCATCCATGTTGTTGCAAATGTCAGTGTTTCATCTTTTCTTATGGCTGAGTAGTCTTCCCTGGTTGACAAACAATGTAATATACAGATAATGTAACATAGAAGTGTACACTTGAAACCTATGTGATCCTATTAACCATTGTCACTTCAATCAATCTAATAAAAAATATATAATAAAATCTAAAAAATAATAAAATAAAATGTCAGTGCAGTAACAGTGGTTAATTAATCAATGCACACTCAGTTTTCAAAAGGAAGCATTTTTGTGTACAGCTAAAAAGAAAGGCTTGTAGCGGAGCCTTGATTGCCTTAAGATTACAAGTATCTCTTCTCATCTGCGCTTATTCTTCTGTGTCTGTGAGTCTCCCAGGATGAAACCCTTTATATGAGGCCCCATGAGCCGGACGTGCCCTTTGTGCACCGCCTTAGAAAAAGAATCACAAAGCAATTTCAAGTTCTCAGATACAAACACTTGTCAGTTGAACTTGAAATATCATGATGTTAGTTATTAACTACGGAGTGAATAGTGATGTTAAGTGAGGGATGCTGGAGGATGCCGAACGACTAACCTGAGGAGAAATGAGAGAGAGAAAAGAATCATCGGGTGAACTGTATGGGGCAAATGAGGACAGAGATTTCCAGAGAAGCGGAAATAATAGACTTCTGGTAACGGAAGCTGCAATTGAAACCATATGCGGTCGCACACACAAAAGGAAGAATCGGGTCAAGATTTTGGAAATTTCACAGATGAATGTATTTCTTCTGGTTTAAAAGCAATAGGCACATTTTTTGTGATATCAGGTACTTTTTTGTTTATACTTTTTGCCTGTTCTGTCTTATTTGCCTGATGCTGCAGTGAATCAAGCAATACTCATATCATTTCAATCACCTCTAGGAACATATGCCAAGAATCAAGAAAAATAAATAAGGATCTATGGGCATTATTAGTATTCATAATTGTTTATTATGTTTTATTCTCATGATGTGAAATTAGGGGGCATAAATAGGGGATAATGCACAGTGAATACAGGAATTGCCCAGCATATAAAATAGTATGAATGAGATTGGTAAGGGGAAGATAGATAAATAGAAAACTTTGGACATCAGAAAGAGCATTTCACATAATCTGAGACACAGAGGAAAGAGAAGGAGAGAGGCAATGAATCCATTTGCTCAAAATTGAATACAAGAAGGGGTTATGTATTTTCCATGGCCACTTGCCCTTGGCTGCTAATGAACATCAACAATGTACATCAAGATAATGAGCAGCGGCATCCTGCTACGAGGATGCTATTAAATCTGCTAAAGATAGTTTCTTTTTTCTATTTTTTTCTTCCTCCTTCTGCCGCAAGCCCTTTGCTCTGGATTGTAGGCAGGAAGTAGTTCAGTTTGACAGATACTAAGAAATTGAAGCATCTAGAAGTATTTGTGTTTATTTATGACTCATACATATCACACTACCCTTAATTATAAATTATTCATCAGTAGGGATATTTTAGTCATTGTTGGTATATCATAATTGCACTTCATATTGCCTCCTATAACACACTAGTTTTTATTTACCCATGACTTTAAATTAAATTTCAAAGAAATTTTTTAAAAAATCTTTTAGATGTACACACATAAGATTAAATCATATGTAACTGATTAATAATTAAGTCCACATATAATTTGTTTTATTTTGAGGCTTACTATGAATACTGACCTATATTTAGCTACCTGAATAAATCACATTCCTTACCCTACCCTACTGAAATAATGTACAATATTATGCCTTTTGCACACTGTAATTAGTCAGATATTGTCTGAGTAATCATTAGTGACATGAAAAGTTGCTGTAAAAAATAAACCACTTTCAGCCTCTTATTATCATATAAGAATTCTTACCTTGCCTACATATTGTGTATCTGTACCCGTGTACTCTTCCAACAAGAAGAACTGATTCCACATCCAGCCGCGCTTGGTGCGATGTAGCGTTTTACCATGATCTTTTGTCAAACTCGGCATCCTTTTGCTTGGGAAATCCCTGTTAGCTTTTCCTTGTAATGGGAGAGCATCAACTGTATAAAACATATAGGTCCAGATGAATAGTGGTAGGCAATGGTAAGTCCTCATTATCTGCGGCTTCGGCAGGATATCAGATTCAATGTACCGTCTATTTCCCCTGAGGAGTAGGGGGAGAAAATGGTCTATTAGGCTGTGTTTCACTTTCAAAGAACCTGTAAACTGCAAAACGTTTCTAAATGTTATTTAAATTTTATATATAATATATTATACATACATTATCTTTCTATGATCCATCAGTGAACAATCCTTAAAAACTCATATAGATAACTAGGAAGGCATATATACTACAAATAAACTGAACAGGAACTTAGGACTGGCTTTAATATAATTATATTGCAGCATATAAATGTGAATATATTTGTAATATAAAGTACTAAATATTTTGAAAAAAATTAATCTCTACAATACATCAAAGATCATACTGATTACTCCTAGAGGCCTTAAGACTAATAAAAGTGGATTATTTATTAAATTATGCATATATGTGAACTATGTACTTTAAAGAAAACTGTTTTCCACCCACAATCTACTAAATTTTATAAGCTGTTTCTCCTTCTTCTCTTCTTTCTCCTCCTGCGGGTTTTCCTTTGCTTGGCCCTTCTTCTGTAATAAGTCGAGATGGTGTCTCAAAGCAAACTCTCTCTCCAACACAGTGGAATAGAGAATGGTGATCGACAAATAGTATGGATGCTTGCTATGGTCCAGAGCCATTGGCTCTGTCCAACATGTACCCTGATTTCCGTACCTTTTATTTAAAAAATACGCTTACTTAACAAAATACACACGTATGGCCACAAATCCACACGCTCAACAGTAAAATAAATAAATCAAGGTCATGTCACTCTTGACTTTGAAATCTCAGGTGATGAGAATTTTCTTTTATCAGGACTTTATGTGGCTATTCATAATCTTGTAAACTATGTGAAACTGGTAAATTTAACCATAAGCAATATGAAACTCTGAAATTCATATCAGAAAACTACAATGTCAAAGAGTGTTAAAAAAGTGTAATGGAAAAGTACCATCTAGCAGCCACTAGCTCAGAACATGCCCTGCATGCTGTTGCTTAGTAATGGTGCAGTGGAAAATGAGGCAGAGAATCTGAAGGGCAGCTGATATCTCACTTTGATAAAACACGACAAATTTCTTAGTTTGCCACACTGATTACCCTGACTTCTTCTCACTGGAAGATTTCTTTTGGCCATCATCATTTCAGATCACCCTGGCCAGAGAAATTGGAGAGCACTCTTTATTTCCTGAGGTCTGTTCTAGCTACAATGCCCACTTTAGATGGAATGCAAGCCTTTAAGCAGAAAAGTCCAATTGTGTTAGATGGAGTCAGAGACAGGCAGGGACTAGGATCCCATAGGCATCAGAACTAGAATAAAAAATTGCATTCATTTTCAGTGCACTGGAAAGCCGTTGGAAGAGTTTAACATGGCATGTTTATCAAAGATCAATCCGGCTACAGAGTCGAAAATAAGTTAGAGGGAAGAGAAGGGTTTGGTTAAAGGGCAGATCAGTTAGAATTTATTGATCTAGTCCAGTAAGAGCTGACAATGGCATACAGAGAAATGGTTTGAAGTGGACAGTGATACTCTGATCAGGTTCCCTTTGATTTTTAATGTGGACACACACACACACACACACACACACACACACACACACACACACACACACACACACACACACACACAC